CTTGGAAATGTCACGGTAGAGGGTCCGCAACATAATCATTGCTACCATTCCCGACAGGAAAAGAACAATCATCAATGAGTTAACAATTGAAAACCAGTGGATCTGATCATCAGCCATCAAAAGATAAGTATCCCATCTTGATGCCCACTTGATATCACTTTCCTGAGAGTTGAAAAACAGACACAGGAGTTACAAATTCATCACAACCAGCTAGCTTGCATGTGCTATTTATGTTGGCAACGAACTTTCTTTTAATTGTTCATGATTGTTACAAAGTAAAACACCGTCTTGAGAAAGTTTCATGAGAAATTCAACATCACCAGTAAAGTTTTGAATAGGACATTGGAGGTACTTTTGGGCATAAAGATAATGGCTGACCAGGGTATCAGGCTAGTAGTATATGCACTTAAACAGTAGAAGAGTCAAACACGGAGACTTAAAAAGATAAAACATTATCTCCATAATTAGATGTCGTATACCTCAAATTCAACATCATATGTGAAGATGATTTCCTTCTTATCTTCAACCTCTTGGGGAGAATCAGAACTTGTAACAGTACGTTTGGCATGGGGATCACAAGTGGTCAATCGATTTTTGCCATTCCATTCCCCATCATATTCGTGTTTCACACTGGAAATGAAAAACACAATTTATATATCAACATTCATGACAAAGAAACAATAATTGAAGTTGAAGCATATAGACCACACAAAATTACCTGAATGGTTTCACTTCAAATCCTACAACTCTCGCAGCATCAGTTTGTGGATCCTTGTGAAACTTGACAGTGAATGTCAGATGATTATGGATGAAATGCTTCTCCTCCTTGCTCTGAAGAGTAAAAAAATGCAGAGGAAATAAGTTCACAATGCCTCCAGAGTATTACAAACCAAATTCACCAAAAGAACATTGAAGAAATCTGATACATACTCCAGCATATTGTCCCTTAAGACCAACATGAAAACCATGCTGATAGACTGTAGTGTCCAGATCAGGCCTTTTGATAGGCATAACAAGAGGAAGATTGTCCAAGATCCTGTTAAACGTCACATCTCATGTCAGACCCAATACTATAGAACCAGAAAAAAAGGAAACAAAATTTAATATGCAGAGTCCACAAGAGATTTCTCACATGTTGACCCGATACTCATCTTCAATCTTCTCTTTTAACTCTTTGGCATTCTTTGCATTGAGAACAACACGACACACAACATTGCACATCTGTGGTTCTCTCATATGGAACTGCATAACACATTTTCCAGTCAAAACAAATTCCCCCTTGTTCAAAGAATAAGACAACTGCACACTAGCAACCCAGCAAAACCCTCCACAAGAAGAAGATAACAAAGAAAAAGCATGGGGAAAAGCATATCTGAGATAAGTGACTAACCTCAAAAGGAGAGTTCTCAATACGATCACCACGAAGAACTTCACCAAGATTCTCTGCACTGTCAACAATTTGTTTTGGCGTGCAGTAAGGAAGGGAATAATAGGAATAAGGAAGTTGTGTTTTTGTAGAGGTCAACTTGTTGACTTTCACCATCAGAGGGTCACCCTGCCCCATGAAAAAGAGAGGTGAAAGAAATCAATTTAAGACAAAAGAACATTTTTTACCAGACTGACTAAGAAATTTTAGCGTGCTGAGGAGCTATTTAAATGTGGATACATGGACAAAATCATCATTTAACTTTAAGAAACTTGTACATAATTTCTTTGGACAAGAACAAGAAATGCTTAATAAAATTAAAGCTTTTTCCTGCATCCTGTCTACCAAGAATGTCTCTCTCTGACATTGCTCCTAACAATACTAGTAACAAAAGAAATTTCCTTTTTCATTATATCAATCTACAGAGTATACTCACTGAACATCAGAATCGACAACTAAAACTCTCAACAAGGACAACAACTTATACACCTCAATTCCAAGCTAGCTAAGGTCAGCTCTATGAATCTTTAGTCTCCAGTTAGCTCAATTTGGTCCCATTTCGTTCTGATATTCAAATGACAGTGATGATATTAACTTTGAATTACATCTTTTATAGAGATAAAAACAAAATATTCAAAAAAATCCTGATCCTACGTGGCCACAATGAACACTTGATATAGTATATCAACCAAAGACTAGAAGTAAAACCAATAAACACAGAAAAGTTAGCGATGGTAATTAGCCAAATGCACGGCAAAGACACAATACATGAAACACCAAAGACATCCTAATTAAAACCATTGGCCCAACTCGCGGGCATAGACAATCGAAACGCCCATAAACTGCGGTGCTCAATAAATGTTGGATAGTAGGATCAACCATTTGTATAGCACATTCGAAAGTACAATGTTGATAATACTTCTTTCTTTTATGAATAGAATGTTGATAATACCCGATTAAAACCATGTGTTTCTCTTGTACAAGGGGGAGTTGATTCAGACCATGACAAACACATCAAATCTAACAGAAAAAAACAGTAAAAACTACAGACACTAGACGACCAAAACCACTAAAATCCATTAAATGATATGCGTAGATCTAACAGAAACAAAGTGTTACATACCATCGGTCAATCTTACTAAATTTATTATCATTTTACTCTCAAACTTCCTAATCTACACCAGATCTAACATATAAGCCGCCAAATATCCAAATCTAAACTTATATCACCAAATAGCACATGTATCAACAAAATAGAATCCAGTTACATACTGCATAACAGCACACAAACTAGAGTCGAGATCAACAAAGTACACTCATTTCTATCTCTAACCTCCAATATCCCCACCGAATAATGTAATTACAACAAATCGCACACATAAATAGCACAAAATATTAGCATCGAGATCAGCAAATGAAGCTCATTTTTTCCTCCATCATTCTATCTTCAACCACTAATATCTTTACATAATCATGTAATTACAACAAATCGCACACATAACACATAAATTAGCAACGAGATCAGTAAGGAAGTTCATTTTTTCTCCAATATTCTATCTCAAACCTCCAATATCTCCACATAATCATGCAAATACAACAAATCGCACACAATACACACATAAATAGCACAAAAAAACAGCATCGAGCTAATATTTTCCTCATCATTCAATCTCAAACCTCCAATATCTCAACATAATCATCTAATTACAACAAATCCTACACTACAGCTGGAAAAACTCACCTTCATGAAATCCTGCGGAGCAACACCTGGTAGATAAAAACATTGAGCTTCAAATGAAAACAAACATATCAGCACAAAAACCGAGATCCACCGGTGATTCAACTGAGGCCTTACGACCTCCATAGCTCTCTCTCTCACTGAGATCTAGATCCACACACACAGACACACCGTGAAAATCAAAATCCGAGAGCGGTAGAGTACAAACTCCGCTTCTCTCTCTACAAACTTTCTCTCTCTATATGTAAATCTTTCTTCAAAGCTTTGGTGATATATATATATATATATATATATCTAAATGATACACACAAAGTTAATTAGTGAAGAGTGGGGTAAAATGTGGATTAAGGAAGTGATTAAGAGATTAATTATGACGCGTTTGTTGTATAATGAACGGTTTAGATTGGATCTGAATGACTGCCGTCACATATATATATAAGTAATAAAAAACATTTAATGAAGTACTAATGGATTATTATTGGTAGATTATTAGATTTAATTTGTATTTACTTGCCAAAACTTTTGTTTATAAAACCATCTTATTTTCTTAAAAAAAAATTCTCTTTTTATTATGTAGGGAAGTCATTCTCCTATTTTAAAACACTTGTCATATTTCGTTTTTTGAAAATTGATTTAGTTAATTTCAGAGTTGAATAAATTAAATTATTTTAATATTTAAAGTAAAATTTAGAAATTCAAAAACTAGTAAAGAAATGTTATATGATACAATTTAAAAAAATGTATCTTAAAATTAGAAGCAGATCTGGAGGGAATGAGGATGTTCACTCGAACCTGATTATAAAAAAAATTATAACATTTTTTTAAATCACAACGACAAAAATTTACTTAGTGATTAAGGATTTTCAAAATTCACTTTTGAGGTACTGAGTTCAAATCTTACTTATATTAATAGTTTTTGAATCTACATAGTGAAAATTTAAATTCGTAACAATTTAATATATTAGATAAAATATGTGTAATTTAATTCATGAATACTTTCTAGGCTTATAAATACCTTTTTTTCTTGTTGAGATTTTTATAAATTTGTTTTAATTAAAAGAATAAATAGATCAATCAAAATTGACACCAATTTTTACATTGAGGTTATATTTAAGAAAAATTCAATACCAGAATAAGGGAAAAAGGGTAAATATTTTATAAGATTATCATTGAAATTTATATATATAGTATATAGAAGTGGGAAAACACATGTATATGCATGTTACATTTTTGCAACTTAATATATTAAAGTTATTTTTCTTTCTCACTTATCTTTAATAATAAAAATTCGATATCCAAATTTACTAATCCAACTTATACGAGAAAATCAAAGCATTTCTAATCATGATCCTTTTTTTTCATTTATCAAACTCGAATTGGCACCTTCAATTGAGGTTGATTTTATTTTTCATTCAGTTTATTATAATCCTTGATGATATCGTAAATAAACACCAAAAAAATAATATAATCAGACTTTTCTATATAACAATTATTTTCTGTAACATCTTTTTTTACTATAACTGATTTTACTTATATTATTGTATCATAGCAATCAAAAAGTATTTTGAATTTTTCATACCAAATTCTTTTTCATGGCAATTACTTTCACTTTAAAATATTAAAATTTGATAGAAAGAAAATTGAATCACTAAGCAATAAACAAAATTCCAGCTGTTAGATCTTTACTTAAACAAGAAATAATTTGAGTATTTAATTACCTAGATTAGGACTACCTACTTGTATATGACTAAACAAAACTTTTATTATAACACATTAAAAATATGTAAGTTTAATTCCTAAAACATACATATATAACAGAATTACACACACTTACAATAACACAAAATGGTATTAACCATTACTGGAATTTATTATCTGTCGTGTTTCTCTATTACACGCTTCAAAGAAAACATTAATATTAATTTGACTGAATAAGAACATGGTTCAGTATTGTAACCAACAAAACCACTCATTTTCCATTTGTTAACCAACAAATAAATCTTTCAACTTATCTCAATGAATTCACAGAAACAAGATCTTTGAGCCATATACCAGCAACAAAAAGAAAAAAAAATCAATCAATAAATAACAATGCACAAGAGCGAAATGGCGAAAAGTTCAACAAGTATAGTTTAGGTTTCGTTTTCAGGGGATGCTTCGGTTAGCCTTACTGAACGAGGAAGCATGAACTCGGCGTATACAGGATAATGAGAAGAAGGATAAAAGCCATCAATGTTGTCGCTTACCACCTCACACGAGACGGGTATGAGAGATCTGCCTCTGAAAAGGATCCAGTCAACATGTAGATCCTGAGTTTGGCGATCCCAGCACAAGCAAAGTGCTCGGAATATTAACTTGAAGAACTCGAGTGGACCTTGTTTGGTACCTGATAGAATCGAACAGTCATTTTCATCACATCATATATCGGTAAGTCAATATAGCAATGGAATTTTGGAGGATTACACAACCTTTGAATCCATGATACGTCCGTATAAGGGATACGTTCTTTCTCACACGAGCATTTGGCCAAACATCTCTCATATCACCGACAACTCCGTGCTCTCTGAGAAATACAACATGTCAGCTATATCAAGCATTTTAGCTCACACTTTACCGGTAACCACCGGTGGTAGAGCCATGATTTTTACTAAGGGGCTCAAAATATGAAATGTAAACACATGAAGAACCCGAAGGTATTCATCATCTACTATATACACATAAAAAATAATTTTAACCATGTATAAACAATGTGATTTTCAAACCTGGCTGCACTCCTGGTAATCACCGACAGGTATGCAATCTAGGCGATGACAAAAATGTAAATCATAATTTACTATAGCTCGCGCTACTAGTTTAGTTATTTCTTTTTCTGTGTAATAATCAATGTTCATAGAAAGCAAAAGTTATCATAGCTCAAATGCGAGGGAAAAAGGTTGTTTTCAATAGATGCTCGGCTCAAGGAAAAGCAAATGAAAGCGGTTCAGAAAAAGAAATAACCGATGAAGAAGTCTTGGCAAAAGGAAAAACAACATTGATCAATAGTCTCCCGAATTTATTCACACGGCACAGTATGACAAGGCTTTGAAATCTATACGGCGCAGAATAGTAACGAATATTGTCAAGTCCTGGACAAATGTGTCCTCTGGGGTTAATGTTCTAATAATACAAATACAGTAGTTAATGATTTTCTAAACTCGATTATGTCTGAATAGCAACAATTTTCAAACTACATTTTGTAATCAGTATATTCCAAGTGTTATATTGGAAGACGACAATTAGTTATTTGCTTATTCTATATGATAGATTAACCTGGCCGAGTAGAAACAGCCTATGAGTTTGCCAGTTGTCAAATCACAACTTAAGGCAATATATCCCTTGTTAGAGTAGTTAAAACAGGCCATATTCCGTGGTCTGACAGGAACACTAGCAAGTTAAGTAGTGCCATTGCAAGGTCGAGTTTGCGAATAACTGAATATAGTAAGCAAGGTACTATAATGGTAAGACTGCAGAAGTGATACAATAGAAAATAAAATGCCAGCGGCATTATTACCTAGATCTCCCAAGAAGAAAACGACCTGTAGTGGATTCCTTTTGGGTATTAAATCCCCCACAGTACACAACGGATAAGCTAGGGGGCAAGGATGCAATATGCTGCCAAGTGAGCAAAGCACCTCGCCTGCGAGCACGGGGACTGAACTCATCCATGGTTGTATTAACAATCTGAAATGAAAAACCTGGCGGCTCAACGCCTTTCAGCTGGAATGTGTAGAGTCTATGTCAAGGGAGCAAAGCACTCAATAATCCATGCAGTAAGGGGTCATTTCGTTGCCGGTTAAAGTTATGCAGGTATTAGTTATTCAATAATCCATGAATATTTTTTTAACTTTCTCCCGGAGTTAAATTATAAAAGTCATGTTTGGCCATAAAATTCTAAAAGTCATATTTGGCCATATCACTCACAAAAATTCCAAAACAATTCCAATTTGTATTCATGGCCAAACACAACCCGGGAATCTCAGTAGCTCAGGTGGTTTGCTAAGGGCTTGATTCCCCATCATGCAATTCCCTCCCCCATTTCCCTTCCCCTTTGTAATACACCAATTTCCAAATACCATTTTTCACTTTGAAAACAAAAACGAGTTTTTTCAAATTTCGCAATTTTCATGGCACAAAGCAACTAATAACATGGCAGTAGCTCTTCTACTTTTGGATAGTTCCCTTCCTAGCCGGCAACCAAACGACTCCTAAAGAACAAAGATGAAGGTGAAAAGACAATTAAAATTAAATAGATCAAAAGGATATTGCCCATGTTGCGGTGCACGGTACTGTAGAACCCCAAGACATACTTCCAGGCACTGAAGGTGATTCAGACAACCAAAATGTTCCCCCTTCTAAAAGCTCGACCTTCAATCGAAACCAGATGATCTAAGATAGCTAGTATAGAATAATTTTGTTTGATTTTCTCTAAGCCAGATGCTGAAGTTACATAACAAAAGAAAACACGGTTCTTTAGGGGGAAGAAAGACCTTTTCCTTGTCGTAAAATATGGTACAGTGCTGATCAGAAGTGTCTTCAGCTCCTTTTCTTGATATTCCAAACTGTTCATAACCTAGTTGGTAAAAATAAAACGATACAAATAACGACCAGCCATTAGCTCTTCAACATAAAGAATACTAACACAAAACATACCTAGTGTAATCCCATGTGTGTACGCAGACCTTACCCCTACCTTGGGAGGTAGAGAGGCGGTTTCTGATGGGCCCTCGGCTCAATGATCAAGAATACTAACACTCCAAAAGAAAAAGGGAAATCATAAATGTTGTCATATTATACTTATCAATAATATAAAATTAATTACTAAAATACATCCTTGTATTTCTTAAAACACACGAGGAACTCCTTAGACTGAATATAAACAATGTATTGTAAAATGCATCATCTTATTTTCCATGAATAAAGTAAACTTGGTAAAATTATACATTCTATTCAGCAATCAAAAAAAGAAGGAAGAAGGTATTCAAAAGTCTATTTTTGACGACCAAGGACTCTGTTGTTTCAACTTCGAAAGTCGGGAATAATGTACTCATCCCTCTACCCCTCCCCACTTAATACTAGACAACCATGTTTCAAGCTCATAATGTGTGTCTACTACATCCCACTGTACTACTTTACCGTTAACAAAGTCTTTAAAGTTACTCTAGTTTCTAAGGTTCATATCTGTCATACACAACGATCATTTGGGGAGGACATGATGATAAGAACAGGTGATCGAGGCAGATACTTCATCTATCCCATGTGAATAGAATGAACACAAACATTTCTTAGGAGAAAATTATGTATAGCTTTAACATTTGTTTGCCTATTTCCTTCATTGTTTTTGTCTCAATTTGCATCATAACATGTAGAACCATCTTGATTCAACCCCTTTTCTCTCCCTACATATTCCCTCATACTTTCTAAGTCATAGACATGTTAGTTCCTACAAGTCCAGAAATAGGATATGTACAACAGTAATGCCTATTTTTTCATTACATATACTAACCTTCTCTCTGGTGGACCAAACACTAAAACATAGTCATTGTTTGGATATCGAGTTGAACAAGCCGAGCCAAATCGAAATAGAGACAGAGTTTATTACAATACTATGTCAAGCTGAGATCAACCAAACTTGCTATAATAAGGAGTAGAGCTAAACTAAGCTATAATATATTCGAGCTCGACTGAACTAGACAACTCTTCAATATTTGTTTTACGAAAATCAAGTTGAGGTTATACAGTTTTAAGGTCTAAGTTTAGTGGGAGTGGAATGGTTATCTGAAAAACTAGTTTACCAGGATATAGGGTGAATATATACCACTCTGCAGTTCATGCCTTAGTTACTATTTTCTGGAAAACCATCTTCAAGAAATGGTACAACAATCCTCAGAAGAAGATGAAAGTAAAAGCCAAAGGTATCTCCTATCCCCAAACAGCTTTCTATAAACTGTAATTCTTCTATATACCATCCCCCGTGTCTTCTAATCGGAGATCTTTACATTCCTTACACCAACCTACAAGAATTGTAAGATACTTATTTGAGTTGCCAATTGTGCTTGCCTACCAACCTACTTAATGTTAACAATGTTGCTTGGACTCTTCAAATATGTTGCAGTGTCCGTGTAGGATGCTCCAAAAGTAGTGCGTTTTCTTGAGGATCCGACATGAGGGCAGCAACATTTTTGGAGAGTCTAAGCAACATATATATTTCTAGAAGGCTGAACTTATAACTGTATACAATAGAAGCTCCCTCTTGACGAAATGCTCAATATCTTACTCTTCGTAGCATATTTGAACAAACACTAAACTCTGGTCCATAACTCCATATACGGAAATATGTTCTTTACATGACATAAACTCAAAGTAAAGACAACGACTCTCAAACTGTCATCTATCTCTCCAGCAACCATTTTCTGGAATGTCACACACAAAGAACAACCAGAAAAGTTGAAAACAAACATCTTCAATTTAACTTAGCTATACTGGCTACAACATTACACCCCCACCCCCCACCCAAATTCTCATAGCCAATTGATTCTGAGCACAAGCATGTGAGCACATTGAAACAATTCTTCAGAAAAGCAAAACAACCTATTCTTCCCAGACAATGTGCAGAGATAATGAAGCTAGCTATAGTTCACAACTAACAACAATAGCACACCTAAACTATCACTTTTTCGCCACTTTCATACCTCAACCACCCATGGTTCTCTCTACCTACCTAAACTCTCACTCGATTTGTATTAAAACACACCTCGATGCTGAGTTGGTCAAATATTTGTTCCCAATCAACAACAACCCCTAGCATCGAGGTGTGTTTTAATACAAAGGAAGTGATAATTGAGATATAAAACTCGCGAAAAGGTGAGTTTTTTTACCATTAACTCAAAATAAGATCAATCTAAAATATTTACCTTGCAAGCACTGCTGAATATAGTCCAACTGTGACTTCACACCTAAAAAGCAAACACAACCAAACATTGATTAACAAATGGCTGCAGAAACAAAACACAAATCCAAAGAACTGCAAAAAAGACACAAAACCCATAAAGCAAATCACAAATCAAAGCAACCCCAAATCACCCATTCCAACAAAAACCACAGAAAACCCAATCAAGATCCACCTAAATACAGAAAAGTAACCAAAAAAAAATGAAACTTTATTCAAACCTTGTTGGGTACAGAGAATCATAGGAGAATAACTTGTAATAACACTTATACACAAATCTTTCCTCTTCTCCCATGTGTTTGGACTGTCCTCTAACTGATCTTCAAGAAGATTAAAAGTCATTACACTCAAAGAAACACTCATTTTTTCCAAAAACAAATTGAATCTTTTTCTGTATAATCAACTAAAATTGTATCTTTTTTTATATAACCAAACACCCTTTATCTACATGTTCATGAATCAATCATCAAATACAAATTCAAGAACAAAACAACAAAAATCAAGATTGTTTTTTTAAAAATTATTTTCTGAAAGTTGTAAACTTTTGAAATGCAGTTTTATTCAATTTTAGCTAAAGAGAGGAGCAGACAGAATCAATCAAAGACGTGTCTGAAACCCAGAAGAAAACAGTGGCCATTTTCAACTTTCGCACGTGCCAAGTCACACGTGTGAAATGGATCAACAACAGTTGGACTAATTTTATTTTATTTTTGCTATTTATTGTAAAAAAAAAAATTCAAATTAACCAACAAAACGAAAGAAATGTGGAGAGTAAAACAAGAATATAAAAGCAAAAATTTGTTCATTTTATTATAATCCCAAAATTTGATAGTCACCTATAAAGCCATTCATACACAAACTATGAAAATAAAAAATGATTACAAGTCTCGGTGGCTTTGTTTCTCAAATTGAACAAAACATAAGATAAGGAACAAGAGAGTTCGTCGCAATGACAAGTAGCTACATCTCAAAAGTCCTCCGACAAGCTCCGAAAATAGGAGAATTTTCGGAGAAGAAGAAGGGCAATCACACCGTGTCGGGCACAAAACCTTCACAAGTGTAGAAGCAAGGAGTTAGACCGACGAACACAAGTAACCAATAAACAAGACAAAACTAGCTAGAAAATGAGTTCTTTTTCATTCCAAACGAACCTTTTCAAACTACAATATGCATATAAATCAACTCATCCTGACAATTTCGCAATACACGACAGTTCAATGGTCACAATTCTCACAAGTAACCAAATGCATCAAACCACAATATACAACTTTTGCCGGAATCATTTCAATTTGGCACAATATTACTAGCCGGAAACATTTCTCTTCGATTATATCATATCACTAGTAAGAACCTTTACCCTTTGCTTTATATCACATTAGTTACAGAAACGATTCCCCTTGGACATATTATCACTAGTCAAAATTATTTTCTTGCGATTTCGTATCACATCACAAGTCAAATCATTTTTCTTCGACTTTATATTATATCACTTATCGAAATCATTTTCTTTAAGCATAACATCACATATCTCATCACGATACACAATAATATTAATGCAATAAATAATTTCACACTAATACTAATAATTGGTTAAAAAACATCTAAGTGTATCAAATAGGTTCAATTTTACCCCTTGTAGTATTAGATACTTGTTAATATAATAATCAGAAAAATAAATAAGCCAAAAATAAATAAAATTGGATGCATTTAATTAAAAAATATATTTCATCATTGTTTGGGAAGATCCCTAGAAAAAATTGATGTAATTGAGAATAATTTTTGTTTTAATTATTCTTCTTTCTTCACTATAAAACGATCATATTGTGCTATTAAGTTTTCAATCACATATCAAAAGTTATAATTTAATGGACAAATCTAGAATTTTATATTTTATATTTCTCCTAGTAATTTTCACTTTCTTTTTCCTTTCATCAAACAGTAAGTAATTTGATTTTTTTTTAATTTCTCCAATTAGTTACATTGCTACTTTATTGTTATTTTTCCTTTTGTTGGTTTTGTTTACTATCATCATTCAACCAACTTTTGGAATTGAATTAATTAAATTTTAGATTTATAAACATGATATTAGAACAAAATTTATTATTGATATTCGATCAGTCATATTATACATGTTATTTTTATGCTTTAAATGTCTAATTCTAAATACAAAAATAAATCTAACAAATAATTATATAACTAGTGTTGTTAACTTTTAAAATTGAATTACGTACTTTCACTGTCTTTTAAATAAATTATCATATAACACAAAGATTTTCAAAAAAAAACAAAACCAACACTATTGTTAGAACTACATGTGCTTGACCTATTTAGCCAAGTTTTATACAACTAATTAAACATATATTAGGATAGATTAATATTATAAGGGGTGACTTAAAATTACTTATGATTCAAAAAGTAAATATGTACTCAGCTAGATCATTGGAAAAGAATCTTTTATAATTCACCCTAAAATAAGATTATCGATAAATTATTATGTTTAGCTATAAAATTTATCCATCACATATTAAAAGAATCTCAATTATTTGTTGGTGCAGATATTGTAAGAGTTGAAGGTGGTGGTCTTTGTAAGATATGGAGTGGACAATTCAAAGGGCCATGTTTAGTTCCCTATTCTTGTGATGAGACATGTAGGTTAGAAGAAGGGGCTCTTCATGGAGAATGTGAATGGACTGGCATTAAAGGATTTGCTTGTATTTGTATAATTGGTTGCTAATTAATTTTATAATTGTATTTAACCTTCAATAATAATTCACAGTGTATTTAGCACCCAATAATGATTCAAAGTGACGGAGATAGAGATCTCACAAAAAAGATGTTCTGTAATTTGTTCGTGTATAAAAAAGGTTGATGATGAATAGGTGAAAATATAATAAGTTGTAGAATTTGAAAAAAGAAGAAGAAGAGAGAGTTGGGGATAATTTCCGATTCTAATTCGAATCAAAACTATTAATAATTGTATTTAGCACCCAATAATGGTTCAAAGGCGGAGACAAGAATCTCAAAAAAAAAAGATGTTCTGTATTTTGTTCGTGTATAAAAAAAAGTTGATGATAAATAGGTGAAAATATAATAAGTTGTAGAATTTGAAAAAAGAAGAAGAGAGAGTTGGAGATAGATTCCATTCCGATTCTAATTCGAATCAAATATAAATAACAAGTTAATAAAGAGAGTATTTTTTTCATACTGCAATTCTACTTTGAAAATATTTCTTTTAATGAATCAAAAATTTACTGAAAATAAATAAATTTTCCGTATATTTTATTTTATTTAACTCCTTACTCATAAAATTACTCTAAATATGTCATTATTGTTATTGTAGTGATGTTGTCATTGTAGTGACTAATAATTGGTCGATATTGCTTATAGAACTAATGTGTATAACTTTAAATAGAAGTTATTAAAAGCAATTAAGTTTATAAATATTTGTAAATTTAGACTATGCCTTAAATAGAGTTTTAAAAGGAAAATTTACATAAATATATTATAATAAAAAAATATTTATCACTTATAGTAATAAACATTTTTTTTTACTTGATCACTTTTAATTTATTTAAAATACAAGTTTAATACATATTACAAAGAATAATTTATTATTCACATATAATACAAATTTTAATGATGGATAATGTATTTATCACACATTTTAATACATTTATAATACAATGTGACAATTTTTTACCAAACAAATATAAAATATTTTAAAAACCAATTATAATTCAAATATACTACATACATAATTCACTTTTAATACATATTACAAATTTATTATAATATTGCTATAAATGGTAATAAATAAAAGATATTGCTAAAATCAATAATTATTTTTTAAAATATATTAATTCACGTAATTTTTCCGTTTTAAAATCAGTTATATGTGCACTTAGAGCCCATTTCATATAATTATTTTGAGAAAATTGAATAATGTTTTGTTTTAAACAACACAAGTTTGGATTGACTTTTAGGTTAAAGATCAAGATTATTTTTCGTTTTTAAAAATAGCTTTTAAAACTATGATTACTCTCTGAAACTATTTAGACTATATAATGACACGTAAGATTTATTTATTTTTAATTAAAATTTTTAAATTTGAGTACTTGAAAAAATAAATAAAATTTATTGAAAATATGTAAATTTAAATTTAATTGATCTCAATATGAATTCAAAAAGATATAATTGACGATAATGTTTGAAACATATCACATCAAAGTGAAAGCTAGAAGGGAAGATTTATAACTTGAAGCAACAAAATTTGTTTTATTTGTTTATTATTTGCCTAATTATATCATTTTTACAAATTTATATATCACACTCAATCGGGATGAAAATGTAACAAATTTCTAAATTGTAGAAACATAACCTCAATAATATATATTACAAGTTATCAGAGAATCGTTATTTTTTTAGAAAATATTTTTCTTTAAACCGATCATAACTTTTATTTCAATTGTTTATGCAAGAATATAATGAGATTTAAAATCGTTATAAGCAGATGCTAATTATTGACTAAATGACATTTAAATGTATTTAAGAGGACCAAAAATTTCAATTTTTAACCCTTGGTGGATTAGATGCTTGTTAATATAATCAGACAAAAAAGAGGAAATTTGAATGCATTTAATTTAAAATTATTTCATCATTGATTTAGGAGATCCCAAGAAAAATTGATGTAATTGAAAATAATTATTGTTTTCATTATCCTTTTCTTTTGCCTATAAATATGAAAATATTATGCTAGTACAATATAAAAGTTTTAATTAATGGATAAATCTAGAATTTTCTATTTTACATTTTTCCTAGTATTTTTCACCTTCTTTCTTCTTTCATCAAACAAGTAAGTACATGTTTTTGTTTTTTTAAAAAAATTCTTCCAATTAGTTACATTTCTACTTTATAGTTGAGTTATTTTTCATTTTGTTGGTTTTATTTACTATTATCATTCAATAAACTTTTAGAATTGAATTAAATATAGAATCTATTTATATATAAAAAAAAGCAAGGAAAAATGAGGTTTCCAATTAAAAAAAATAGGACAAGTGAAACTAATATTAGGGCAACTTCATAATACTAGTCACTTAAAAGTTGAATATTAATAAAAATCCAATACACTACAAGTTAAAAAATAATAATTCTAACTTCTTGTTAAATAATTCATAACTAGCAGTATGATTTTTTCTTATAATTCATTACTAAATAAGATTATCAACTGATTTTACTGTTTAGCTATAAAAATTATCTATCGCAATTTTATTTTTATTTTTTTTAAAAAAAAGAAATATTCAATTGGTTTATGCAAATGTATTATTCCCTATGATTGTGATGAAACATGTAGGTTAAAAGAAGGAGCTTGTGTTTGGACTGGATTTAAAAAAGGATATGTTTGCATTTGTACATTTGGTTGCTAATTAATTAATTAATTATGGTATTTTCAATTTTCATGTATAATAAAAGTTGATGGTAAATAAGTGAAAATATTATAATTTGTTAGATTGTTGGATATGAATGTATAAAAGTAAATAATTAAACACCCACTCCTCATTGTTTTCTATTATATCCTTTCTTCATAACTCCCTTCAAACCTAAAGGAAGTTTTAAAGTTGTGGCGCACTGGTGAAAGTGCTTTACTTTTAAATAGGGTCTTGAGTTTAAGTCTTGACTATGAAGAAAATCTTGTTGGGAACGTGATTTGAATTTAGTCAGAGTTCTAATGTGGGCTCCGAACACCAAATGAAAAAAAAAAATCTTCCTGATTTTTATATTTTTTATATTATTTAAGTATTTTTATTTGTAATATTATCATAGAGCATACGTATAATTTTTATTGAATATATGTATACAAATTATGTTATGATTAAACAATACTTTATTTTCTTGATACTTTGATTAAGTTTTTTATATATTTGTTTATAAATCACATCTGAGGAATGCGATTTATCAAGCTTTTGAGTCAAATTAGTAACTTCATCTCCTTATTGTGGAAAAAAACTCTAAATTGAATAATAATGCTAATATGAAAAAAAAAAAAAACTAAAATTCTGTTAATTAGAGAGCAAAAATTTGAATTACAGATAAATTAACGTGATATGAATATTCAAAAATGAACACGTGTAAACCACAAAAAAAAGATTAAAAATTTGAGACTCTAAATAGTTGAAGGGTATAGAGATATTTGCATTCGTAGAGAGGGATAGAACCTTAATTTAGTTAAAAATGTATCTGATGTATTAATTATAGTCTAAAAAGATACTTGTGCCTTTGTTTCGAAAAATTACAAATTGTCACCTTTCATTAAACAATAGCTACAATTATGGGGTGCCATATTGTATAGGTGAAACTCCCAAATCATTTCATTTATAAAATTGGGAAAAGGCTAAAACTTTCAGAAAATGCTTATTTACGTCATCAGTTTAAAGTTTGATTTATTTATGTCATTACTATTAAAGAAAAGACTCATTCTTGTCATTATTCTTTAATAATGTTTTTGCAAAACCATTTTTGACACGTGGCCAATTATCATCAATTTTTTAAATTTTTTTGTCTAAAAAAATTAATTCAATTTTTATTTAGGATTTTGAATTTTTTTATTTCAAAAATTGATGACGTGGCCAATTAAAATTCAGCCAAGTCATCAATTTTTTAAATAAATAAAATTTCATTCAATTTTTTTCAAAATTATGATTTTTTTAATTTAAAAAATTGATAACATGGACGAATTACAATTGGCCACATATCAAAAATGATTTTGCAAAACCACTTTTAAAAAATAATGGCATGAATGAACTTTTTCTTGAACGATAATGACATAGATCGGCCAAACTTTAAACTTTATGCACCAAAAAAGGTGCTTCCAATCCATGTTAAAAGTATTTTGATATATATATTATTTAAGAGGCGAGAGAGAATTGTTCGATAATAAGCACCCCTCACTTTTAACCCGAAGATTACGAGTTCAAGTCATCAAGGGAGCAAAAGGGGTGGGAGCTCCTAACAAGGGTAAAAATCATCTTATTTATCGAAGAACACCTTGTTGATGGTTCCTAGTAACTTAGCTAGAGGAATCAAAAGATCCATTTCAATGAGACAAAAAAAATACAAGAAGAATAGAAACAAGTCAAACGATGATTTTGAAAATACCAAGAACGAGATTTGTTTCCTATTTAATGTTTGATATCTGTATTAAAATTTGATTTAATTCGAATTTGAGCATTGCACATTTCATTTCTTGGGAGCGGCGCTCCCAACAAAATTCTTTCTATTCCTAAGTACTCGAAACCCCGATACCTCTGAGTAAAAGTAAAGGAATCTCAATCATCCCATCATAACCTGTATTCTATTTTTTTTTTCTTGAATATATTATTAAGTTTGAATTTGGCTTAATTAATTAATTAATTAAGAACCCAACTTCTATTCTCCCTATAAATATCTTAATTCATCCCACATAATCATATAACTCTTTGTCACACTTGATATATAATTAAAAGAGAATTTTAATATGGCTGGTTATAATATTTGCTTTATTAGGTTTTTGGTGATATTTTTTAGCCTAGTACTCCTCATTGCATCAACTGGTGAGTTTGAAAAAAAGAAGCAATACTTTTACTAATTTTATTCCCATAATTAATTTGATCCTTATTATGTATGGCACTATAAAAAATATTTGGAATTATATACTTATGTATCGCTAATTCATTAATATATATTGCTCGTAGCTAATAGAAAATTTAGTTATCCATTGATGAACAAAATTAGCAACAAATTATGTTGTTTAGAACAAGATTATAATATCATTAGGGGTCACTCCACAGGAATTAGGTAATATGATTTTTGAGAATTTTTTTACAGGATTCTCCGTAATGACTTGAGGGAATAATACGTATAGCTTCATCATGTTCCACATTATTTTTTTTAATCATTTATGAGCCACTTAACCCTAATTAGGTGATTATTTTCTTAGTTTTTTCGTGTATAAGTCAATCAAATTATTGGTGATATGGTTTTCGAGCATTTTTTTTCAAAACTTTTGCACGACCCTCCGTAATGATTTGGGGGAACAATATGTATAGTCCCATCATGATCCACGTCACTTTTTTAGCATTTACAGGTCACTCAACAAGAACTAGACTATTTTCTTAGTTTTTTTTTGTTAAGTCAATAATTTTTTTGTTTGATATGATTTTCGAGCATTTTTTACATTAATTCGTAACGATACGGGGACAATATGTTTAAGTCTCACATGATCTACGTCATATTTTTTAGTATTCAGGGGTCACTCAACAGGAATTAAGCGATTTTCTCAGTTTTTCGTATGCATTAGTCAATAAGTTTTTCATAGATATGATTTTTGACCATCTTTTTTTCTCCAAATCTTCCCAAAACATATTTTCGATGGTAATCATATTTTATCATTTACCCTATTCGATTAGTATACATCACACTTTTAATGTCCAAACACCTACTTATATTAAATTTTTATTTTTATTTTTTATTTTTTTATGCAGATGTTAATGGCATGAAAAATGGAATTTGCAAGAAATTTAGTGGAACATTTAGTGGACAATGCTATGAATCTGCTCATTGTGAAGAAACATGTGTAAAAGAAGGATCTCCCTCTGGAGAATGTGAATGGAAAGGAGTTCATTGGGGATATGTTTGCATGTGTGAATATTTTTGTTAAAAAAAAAAACTATATATTATATGAAATCATCAAATAACAATGTTGATCAAAATCAAATATAATATAATATATATATATATATATATATATATATATATAAATAAATAAATGAAACCTGTTTATATTATTTTATGAATAATAAAACAGGTTGAATAATACTTTGTGTTTTGTTCATGATTAAAGAATAAAGGTGTATCTAGTTTTGTGTGTGTATGTATACTATATGTAGTTCTATTATAAAATATATTCCTTTTGTTTTAATTTATGAGTTTTATGTACTTTACTTTTTAGACTGTTTTTAAAGAAGAATTAACATCGTTGGTTAGATTTAACAATTTTTTGTAAACATCATTATACAATATTTATATTATATTGTCTAACTCGCAGTGCTCATACTGATATTTTTGTATAAGTTATATTTTACCCTCATTTTATATTTATCTTTTGGATTTAGATCTACAAGACTTTCCGCCACCTTAAAGTTTTGACAACCCTTTTGAAGGTCAAGAACGGATGAGATTTAATCAATATGAACTCGAAACCTCTTTCGTTGTTCTCAAAACTTTTTCGTACCAACTCTCTTAGTAAAAAATGCATGAGATTTAATCAATATGAACTCGAAACTCTTTTCGTTGTTCTCAAAACTTTTTCGTACTAACTCTCTTACTTGCCTAATTTCACATGTTATTATAATTGTCATGTGAAAAAATTACTTAAGTTGTATAATACTATTCTAATGATTATATATCGTACAAATAAAATAATAATTTCAAAACAAGCCGATAATTCTCATCAAATGTTGTTTAAAAGCATGAACTTGTAATTTATTTAATCAATCAAAAGATCAATACTAAATGGACTTGAATCACCTTCTATTATTGGATGTGGTGATTCAATCTGATCATAAATTAAAATTCATCGATAATATATATTAAAAAAATTATACATATATACATATATATATATATATATAACTTAAAAATTCATATTTTATTGCATGAAAATCACAAACTCCATTGGAATATCCCTCAGTAAAACATTTTGTGGCACAAAGTGCATCATTATAACATTGTCCACTATATGTTGAACTCAACTTTTGGCACCCCAAAATTGCACCCACAAAAGGAAAATGGCCTGCATGCAAAATAAAAATAAAAATAAAAATAAAAATAAAAATTTATTTTTAGTACTTTAGTAAATTAATTAATAAATAAATAATATAAGTCTTTTCAAATAATTTGAATTTTAAATGAGATTGTCAGAATTTTAAATGAGACTGTCATACAGTTCGACATACTTTAAAAAATGTATGTATATCATTTTCACTAACTTGAATATTTTTAGATAAGTTGATCAGGTGAACGTTATACTTAATGAAAAGATCAAAATTATGGTAACAAAGATTTGCTTTCATTTTTTAAAACTCACCATTTGACAAAATGAGGAGCACACTGAAAAGTATGACCAAAAACTTAGAGAAGCAAACTTGAGATTCACTCATTTCAAATTCCCACTTATATCAAATTGCAAAAGAGTTTTATATGAATTGAAATTAATAACAAATATTTATAAGGAGAGAAAAAAAAAAGTTGGTTACTGAATTAATTCAAAGTAATTAGATTTAGTTTATTCAAGATATACAATGGTATCTTCAATATCACCATTAAACAAATTATTTGAGTTGTTTACATCCTTGTTATGTTTGTCTCATAGTATAGTATTGCAGGATTCTTCAACGCTATGTTTGGATGGTTGTTACGTATTATTGAAGATATAATTGAGTAAATAAAAGTGTGATATTCTTTAATAATTTGAACTTTGAGATAATATAATCACACACCACAACATGTATCTTATACATTGAATTATTTATTTTCAATATCATACAATAGAAGTAACATCAAGAACACTTTATTCAATTACACAACACTTCCTTTCTTATTTTGCACTCAATTAGAACATTATTTTTTCATCTCAATTAAAACTCTCTCATCTTATTATATTTTATATTTTATATATTACATAATAACAAGACTAAGCTTTTATATTTTCTTATATGTATGCATTTTGATGATGATTTCAATTTCACTCAACATAAATATTCACACATACAAACAAATCCCCAATGTATTCCTTTCCACTCACACTCTCCTGTTGAACTTCCTTCTTTAATGCATGTTTCCTCACAATGAGATGACACATAGCATTGACCACTAAATGTTGAACTAAATTGCTTGCAAATTCCATCCTTCACACCTTCAATATCTACATCCACATTAAAAAAAAAAGAAGAGTAAAAGAGTAGATATATATATCATTGAAATTTATTACGTTATCAGTATCAATTTATGTGATATTATTTGACTTAATACAAAAGTTAAGAAAGAAACAAAGGCGTTTGAAAACATGTGGTTCACGCTAGAGTATTTTCATTACTAGAAAGTTGCTAATTTTCGACTGATGCCTCTATGGAATTTAGTGAGATTCTCGATCAAAATTTTATTGAAAATATTGTTGATGAACTGAATTCTGATGAATTGAATTACGTAGGAGATAACAATTTTCTGATAGTATAATTTTTTTTAGATTAAATATTGATTACACAATTCAACATATTATTATAAAAGCAGACAAAGACTAATTTTTCAAATCTCATCGCTACACATTATAAAAAAGAATTTTTCAAATGTATATGAAAAAAACATGTTGTATACCTAACATAAATAATAAATATACAGATCTCTAACAATTTATGCATCCAAAATTATTTTATTTTTTTAAACTCACCATTTGACACAAGGAGGAATACACAAAAAAGTGTAACTAGAAACTTAGAGAAGCAAATATGAAAATTAGCCATATTCAAACTTCTTCTTAATTATATCTAATTAAATAGCAAAGGCCAAACAGTTATATGAAAATTGGAATAAAATGGCAAGATATTTATAGGAACTAATTGGATTCTTAATCAATCCAAAATTAAAAATTAATTAAATAGTTAATTCTAGAAGCAACATTCTTGGAATCTTAATTCCAAAATCAACATGAAAATTATCGAAAAAAAAGAATTGTTTGAGCTGTTTTCGTCTTTGTTTTATTAAATTTGTAATTTTCTATCTCATAATAATGAAATATTAATCTTGATACCTTTAAGCAACAAGATCCAATAAGCTATATTTTTTTTTCTTCATATTTATATTTTAGATTTAAATTATATATATCGAACGTATACATTTTTTTTTATATACAACTATTGTAATAAAATGACAGATCTAAATACATTTAACGTGATCATTATTATAATTTTAGTGCTTATAATTGACCTATATTGATGAACCCAAATTAATTTTTTTTAATAGAACTACCAATAAATTTTAACATGTTATACCAGATTAGCTAACTATGATTTTTATCAAAGTATTATTTCGTATTTATCAAAAAATTTATCTATAATTACCTTTCGATCTTATCGTGTGAATTATTTTATATATCGTCAATGCATAACTTAAACTTTACATTTGACATATATTTTACAAGAAATTAATTACGCATGTGTTTTTTTTATGTTTAATTTTTTTATGTTTTGCTTTTAGACTTTTATGTATGTTGGAATTGATAATTTTTAAAATTAAATCGAGGTAATATTGGTATATAGTGAATATAACAACCAATACTAACAAAAAGAAAAGTCAAGTGATTAAGAAAAAGTTGAACAAAAAAAAATAAAAAGTTTATCTCTTATTTATCAAAGTAAATTTGTTGTCTTCATTGGTGATTTTGAAGATAACAAGAATTATTATTGCTAATTAAATAAATATAATATATCAATTATTGACCCTAATTTATCTATTGTCCCTATAAGTATATGTTGTTAGTGTAGGTTAATATACACCTAATTCTTGTAACAAATTAAACTTCTTGTTAATTATTTCATATAGAAAAAAAAGATATCAAAATATAAAATGGCTGAATATTATGTTTGGTATTCTAAGCTTCTTGTGATACTTCTTTGCTTATTCCTCATTGCTTCAAATGGTGAGTAATGAAAAAGATAAATATATACTGATAGTTTAAAGAAATTTTTATATTATTATTGCAATTTAACTTGTTATAATAAAAATTACATAATTTCTTTTTTCTTATTATCGTGTCAGATATATTCACATGCATAATAATTCATCATAGTAGATAAACTTAATCTGATAACTATCTATATATTGTCGATGAAGAACAATAAAATAAACTCGAGTTAAAGCACAAACAAAAAGGAGGGAAGGCTATGATTGTTTGTATTGACAACATTGGCTTTATGATGTGATGATATATAAATATTCTCTATTCTCTTGTCATGTCGTTTAAAGAATTTTTTATATTAATATTGCAATTTAATTTGTTATAATAAAAATTACATAATTTTTCTTCTTATTATTGTGTCAGATATATTTACATGCATAGTAGTTGATAAACTTAATCCGATAATTATCTATATATTATCGATAAAAAACAATAAAATAAACTCGAGTTAAAGGACAAACAAAAAAGAGGGAAGGCTATGATCGTTTGTATTGACAACATTAGCTTTATGATGTGATGATATTTAAATGTTCTATCCTCTTGTCATGTCGCTCCTTTGTTGTCAATTAATATAAATTTTATTCGAGCGTAGTTAATCAGCTTCGTAATTTATTTATTTTTTAAATTATTTGCAGAAATTGAAGTTGTGGAGGGTGCTAGTGCTGGTTTTTGTGATGCATGGAGTAAAAACTTTAAGGGACAATGTTATAATGGTTACCATTGTGATAATGTATGTACAAATGAAGGGTATATTTTTGGAGGTGAATGTTTGTGGGAAGGCATTTTTGCAGGAATGGCTTGTATGTGTGTCTATAGTTGTTAAGACTCAAAAATCAAATTCCATCTCACAAATATATAATACAATATAATAAGAGCGTAAAATTTATCTGTATTCAATATTTATATGAAATTTGATATTTTATGTATAAATATCATTTGCAGATAAATATTATGTTAAGAAGATTGTTTTTGATTAGATGTTACTTTGTATAGGGATGTGTATCGATCGGTTCGGTTCGGATATGAAGTTTATCGGTTGGCTTATTGGTTATCGGTCTGTAGAGATGCTAAACCGTTAAAGAACCATTAACATATTGGATTATCGGTTATTGATTTATCGATTTTTGATCGTTATCGGTTTAACCGTTAAGATTTGACACAAAAGAAAAAATATTTGAGAATTACTCACCAGAAGCAAACATGAGGAAAAAGCAAAAGAGTAGAGCACAGAAAGTTATTTTGCTAGCCATTTTTCTAATTAAGATATACTTTGAAATACTTTAATTTTGTGTGAAAACTTTGGATATCCAAGGGTGTATTTATAGTGATCCAAGGATAATATGTTATAATTTTAAAATGTTTTTTTTTTAGAATTAGGTATGAATTAACCTCAAATACAAGATAATGAAAATGTCAAAGAAATCAACTAGATTTTGTTTCTATGATTTCTTACCTGGTTAATTATGGACATTTATGTTGAAGCACTGATTAATTTGAATTCACATCGTATAAGACTAGTTTAAGAAAGGAACGCTTCTTATCGAGTTTTTCATAATCAAAAATTAAATTCGAAACCTCTAATTAGACATCAAGATATTCTATTTATCTCATCACAGTTGTCGATGGTTAAAAATGTCAACTAGATAAGCATTGAAAGAAAAAAGTACTTAGTCTTTGATAAAGTTTTGAAGTAATCAAAGTTTTAATTTTCTTCATCCATCATTATGAAAGTAACAATATTCCTACTACTGTAAATAAAGTCCATAGAAAAAAAAAGTACTTGGAAGTTGTACAATTCAAAGGCAACTTATTCAAAGGTAGATATATAATAATTATTTTAAAAAAATATTATGGTTAATTTGAAAATCATAGTAAAAAACTAATTAAAGATGAAAATCCTAAAGAAATTTATCTAATAACCTATTATAGATGAAAATTGGCAAATATATCATCAAATTAGTCGATATATATGAAAATTGACTTAGCCACGATAATAATCCAAAAAAAGAAGAAGCTTATTATAAAAGTATTTTAACATGGAGCTTCATTAAATTTCAGGACATTTAAGATATATAAAAATGAAATCGAACAACACTTACAAAGAATCATTTAACGTTTTTAAGCAAGCGCACGTATTGGTAAGATTTATGGATGTCGAGTCCTGAATATAATAAAAATCATTGGTATTCGGAATGGGATTTAATAATGACACGAATTTGGAATAGTCGAACTCTAATTCACGTTCAGACACGAGATAATCAAAAAGTAAAAATTTATGTCTGGACTAGATTGTACTTTTTGAAACATTGCAGGACCTTTGTACAATTTATTCTTCCTTCACCTTCACCAATTCGATTTCATTGCCACTATATTACCTTTTTTTTTCAGCATAAACCCTAGTTGAATTTGTGAAGAAAAATTGAGAAAAATTAAATTTTGGGCAAATCCCAGATAAGAAGATTTGAAAAAAGATGGTGGGTACAAATTTGAAAGCAGAAACTATGAAGTTAATGGATGAAAGAACTAATACTGAAGCTGAGATGGATGTTGTTATTCAGCGACTTTGCCAACCTGGTGGTCCTGGACTTTCAGGGAATCTAGTTGATTCTGAGGTAATTCTTTAACTTTTTTGTTTTCTGGTTTTTTTTAAATGTGATTTTAGGTTTTGTGTTTAATTATTTGGATTTTAGAGTGCTTTTATGTTGAAGTGGTAGTTATGGAGGAACCATAAAGTTGTTTCTGTGTGACGTATAGGTTATGAGTTCGAGTAGTGGGGTCAATGGTCTACATAACACCTGTTGAGGTGTTGTTGGTACTTTCTTGAATCCTGTATGAACATGGATGCTTTGTGCATGGGGCTGCTTCTGAGTGTTCTTGTGTTGAGTGGGAGCATAGAGCAATGATAAAGTTGTATTCTTGTGATGTATAGGTTAGGTTATGGGTTTAAGCTGTGAAGTTAGCTAAAGTATGCAAGTGTATGGGTAGACTGACTACATTAATCCCCTTGGGGTGTGGCTGGTTGTTCCCCAAACACCAGTGAGTGTTGGACGCTTCGTGAGGTGTAGTTAGTCTAATTGATGTTTAAGGGGAGTTGTGGATCAACTGTAAAGTTGTCTCCATGTGTCCTATAGGTTTACGGGATTGAGCTGTCTAGTTGGTCTAACTGATGCAAGGATATGGGTAGACTGACCAAATTATGCCCCTTGGGGTGTGGCTGGTCCTTACCTGAACTCTCCGTGAACTTTGGATGCTTCGTGCTGTGTGATAAGTCTAACTAAGGTTGAAAGGGAGTCGTAGATCAACTGTAAAGTTGTCTCCGTGTGACCTACAGCTATAAGTTAAAGGTTTGAGCTGTGTAGTCAGTCTAACTGATGCAAGGATATTGGTGAACTGCCCTAATTATGCCCCTTGGGGGTGTGGCTGGTCCTTCTCCGAACCCCGTGTGAAAGCCTGATGCTTCATGCATCAGGCTCTTGTGTTTATTTTATTTATGTTGAAAGGAACTGTATTTATTTGAGTGGTTGATCTTTTCTTTCTTTTTTTCTTTTGGGTTTGTGATTTGATGTGTCTTTTGATTATAAAGGCTGAAACTTTGAAGCTAATTGCAGGGGTTCCCAAGAACTGATATTGATATTCCCTCTGTGCGTGCTGACCGGCGTAGGCTAGCTGGTAATGCTCATAAACATCTGTTTTATTAGTTGTTTCTGCATTTTAGACTTGTTGGGTTTGTGATATAAGCATCTGTCTTTTTTCTCTCTCTGATACTTTAGTCGATGAAGTTGCTTTGGACTTGATTTTGTTGTCATAACTTAGTGAAGTTCTGACTGATATCCCTGTAGTATGTTTTGATGTAGTACTGTTTTGTTTATAGCTATGGTGATTGGGACCAGCTTGAATGAACCTCAACTAATCCAGTGGATACCTTCTAACTTTGACCGGCAGAGGTATCCTGGTAAATTTGTCCTCAAAACTTTGGATGATAGAAAGGATCACCCTGTTGGGGCTTGAACCTTGGTCTCCTATGATTATCATACCACCTCATCATCCCCTAGACCATGACCTTATGTTCAGGAAGTATAATTTAAACTAAAGTTGTAAACTCTCAATTTTATTGTCCCAAGTCTTGGTTCTGTGCCTCCAAAACATGTTTACTTAGTGAAAGGAAGTAGAGAATGAACATGTTAATATTCAGAAATAAGGTGCTCATGGAAGATGTTATTATGTTAAGATTCTTTGCTTTTAACTGGGGAAAGAGACATTTTTGTATTGAGTTGACGTGTCAGGTAATTGTGTGAACACGTTAAGTGTAGGGAAATTATATCCTATCCGGAAGTTGTAGGTGTTTCTGTAGGTACCAAAATTAGCATTTGAGTTTTCTAGCAGAGATTGAGGAAGAATTGATGCTGTTTATTTTTAATAGTTATTATTCCAGAGCATGCGATGTTTTGCACATCGATTGTGGCAACATCAGAAATTCACCATCTGTATTCTGTAATGCTGTATACTTTGTTATTATTGTTTCCAGAACTACTCATGTTTCAGCAGCAATATAGTAAATTATATCTGCTCCTCTCTTAAATCGCATTGCGTTTCCACACTGCAGAGCTGCGTAATGATCACAAGATTATAACAGAAAAAATAGACCAAAATATTCAAGTTTTGCATTCGGCACGGCTTGCTTCTTCACTTTCTTCTGTCAAAGATTCAGGTACGTGACATTGGTGGATCACATCAAGCAACTTTTTGATAAGAACATTGTCATACTGTCCTACTTAAAAGGATCTATAGTTTTGTCTGAGAAGGTCAGTAAATTTTTATCAGCAAGTGGGAGAGACTGGTGCATGAGCAATAGTAATACTTCTCCTTATGCATCAGTTGGTTTTAGTGGAGCCGACTTCAGTGGTTCATGTGTTGATTCTCCAGCTGATTTGCATGTTTCATGCTTAACCATCATCTTTGCTTATCCAACTTAAATATCATTTCATCTGTGTATTCTTTTGCATCAACTCCTTTGTTTGCTTGTAAATTCTCATTCCATCCTTTGGTTTACGTAGAAGGTCCCTAACCTATTGACTGTCTTAAAAACATTTACCTCATCTATTGAAATGCCTCTTAACCTATTGAATTTGGCTCAACATTACGCTCCTCTCTCCAATTGAACCATAAATAGTGATGAGCATTTTTGGTCTAATAGATGGAAGGAGGATATTATTTAGCCGAATTCAATAGGTTAGGGCATTTGTAAGCCAAGAAATAACAATGAGGGTGTTTTTGATCTAATAGGGGAAGGTTTTTTTCAGCCAAATTAAATAGGTTAAGGGTATTAGTTGCTCAAGTTATACTACTTCCGAATTCTTACTTAAACAGTCATGTGCATCACTACACATAAGGGTACTGGTACGTTGAACCGTTTTCTAGAAGTTGAATTGTAGTCAATGTAGGATATTGATCTTCTTGTCTCGTATTGGTATAAGCTATTCTAAAGTTCACTGAAAATATCTACTCCATCTCATGGTATGCTCCAGCCTTTCCCTTTTTAGTCTCTTAAAATAGAATGACATTTATCAATATTTGAGCTCTTAAATTTACTCTTAATAACATGCACGTATAGCCATAGAGATGCCATGATTAAGACCACACGTTTTAAGGGTACTTAAGATGTGTTCCTAAATTCGTTCTCTCTCTCCTATGCACCATAGAATCAAACATCTACGTATAAAATGAAACGTAGCGAGCGTACAGTTAATGGAGCATTTTCTTGTAGGACGTCATGAAAATATATCCTTTTCTTTCTTCTAAGATGCTTCTGCTGGTATAGGTGTTCAAGGATCTGCTGTCAATATTGGTTCCTCATCATCTCCAGGCAATTACTCTGTGACAGCTGCTACAAGTGCCGCCATGGACATAGATGTAGTTTTCAGCAGACCCTTTGCAGTGATTGATGAAATAACCGAGGCATCTCCAGCTGCAGAGGACGGTTTACAACTGGGAGATCAGGTTGTAAGATTTGGGAATGTCCAGTCGGGTGAGAATCTGTTACAACGCCTTGCTGCTGAAGCACAGTCAAACCAGGGTTGTGTAGTTACCATGACAGTTCTGAGGCAAGGTGCTATGACTAACCTACAAGTGACACCACGAGTGTGGCAGGGCCGCGGCCTGCTTGGGTATGTCTTATCTTTCTTTGTTACTCCATGAGCAGAACAATCCCTTTTTGCTTCATTTTTTCTTTCCCTCGTTTATATCAATCATCTTAACTCAACGTAATCTCATTAACCTGTAATCCTTTTCCATCTGCAGATGCAATTTTCGGATCTTATGATGAGTTATATGTCACTAAAGCGTTGATATGAAGAAGGATTCGTCCGCGTCTTCTTAAACCTTCGTGTATTTTCTGTTGTTCTTTTATTGAACGAACACAACATGTTTTCTGGATTCATCGATCGCAATCAAATGGATGTTTAATATTTTGCCTCATTTAGTTGCTTCATATGAGTTCCTTTATCACCTGTTGTGTTCTCTGTTCTCTGTCTAAGCCAACAAGAAGATGGCTTGTGTATGATGTATACAACAACATACCAATGTAATCTCACCACGTAGAAATGTTGTTTCCAATAGACCCGTGACTTAAAATCAAAGCATGACAAAGTAGTTCGAAAAAAGAAAACAACAAGACCAAGCAACCAACAAAATACGAAAGAAACAGATGCAAATTGACAAACATCACAATATGTTATTCTAAGTTCTATGTTACTTATTTTGATCCACAATAATGTACATAACTGAGTATAGACCATCTATATATTGGAGGACTATAAAAAAAAAAGGTGTACTCTTCTAAACTTCTACAAGAAAGCCCTATGGAGGAAAACTAAATAAATGCAGAAAAAAATAAAATCAGAGCAGCTAAGCAATTTTAGCAAGGCTTAATTTCAAATCCAATACTCAATAGAGTTCGAGCCGATTCCATTGCTTTTTCTCCTCCAACATCCAATTTCTCACCAGTCAACTCACCTTCTTTGTCCACGGACCATTGTGTGGTCGATTTTTGATGTTGTAGGGGTTCGGGTTTGTTAGCATGCATAGTGGTTACGGAAGCAGGGGCAGTAGCAGCAATAAGAGGTGCACTCGGTGGACCATGACGTTTTTTGGGTACTGGCATGTCATGATCGTGTACTCCCTTGTATGTTATTGTTAAAGCACTTGTGGTATCTAAAACCCTCTCAATGTGCTTTCGAACGGGACATCCAGCTGATGTACAGCGATAGTAGTTCCTAAAGGTCATCCAGGAAACAACTCAGGACAGAACAGGAGAACGAAAGAAGCAAAATGAAGTATACTTTTGACCAAGATATGAGTTAAAACGTGAAGTAGATAAAAACAAGTAATATGTGAGAAGAGTTGTCAATATTGATGTTGAATCATAAGAAATTCTAACTTGAAACAGAAAACTAGCAGGAATTATTTACCTGAAGAAAACCTAATTGTCTTAACAGAACAGAAAAGGGAATAAGATGAGTGACACTCTCATCCATAGCATTTAACAACTATGTTGCTCGGAGTCTCCAAAATGCTGCTGCACCCGTGTTGGATTCTCTGAAAATGCACTACTGTTGGAGTATCCCTCATGCACCCATCAACATTTTTGAAGAGTCCGAGCAACTTAGTTTAACAGAGCAGAATAGGGTGCATGAAGAATAGAACTCATCCATCAGCACAATCCAACAAAAGGAAACAAAGCAGAGAAAATAGAGAAAAAAAAACTCCCAAGTATGATTCAAGAAATGTGTTTAATGTGGCATCACTCCCTCCTAGTTCTTATAATTTCAGCGTAAGGCAGGCAGAACAATCAAACGATTTATCAAGTGTACGGCAGAAAATAATACAGTACCTTGGATGGGGATTTCCCTTCACTATTTTTTGTCCATACTTTCGCCATCTGTAGCCATCACTTGAGATTCCTACATCACAAGCAGCATGCACCACAAGCTTGGGTTTCTTTCCAGGTTTAGAAACAGATTCCAAACAACTTGTGTCACTTTTCCTTGACCTGAAAATCATAGGTGAGAATGGTGATCAATCATATGGTTTTGAACATTTGTAAGAGGAAAAGCAGAAAAATAAAATAACTAAAATTGAATACAAAAGTGAACTTGCCTCTTCTTTTGTCCAGCCTCGTCACGGTGCTCCTCTCTAATAGTGATTTCAGTGTCAGTGTCAGACCCACCTGAATCCTGATTTGCTGTCTCAGCAATTGGTAAACTTTCTTGCAAATTTTCATTTAAGGGGGATACTACGGTCTCAATAGAATTTCTCCTTGGATGAGCTATTATACTTTTGCCATTGGTAGGTGAAGACAATAATGCAGACTTGCTTTCCCTTGGGCAATTTACTCTTGGGGGTGGATCATGATTGTGTTGAGTTCTATAAATAATCTCCATAACACGATTAGTGTGATCAGAGCACTCAATCTTCTTGGCACAACACTCAGAATGAGTGCATCGGTAATAACTTCGAGAACCTTGAGGACTTTTAACTTGCTTTTGACCATACTTCCGCCAATTGTACCCATCGCGAGTTGGTCTCTTTAGAACTGGTACAAGAGCTAGAACCTGGGCGTCAGAACTCTGCTTAACCACTTCTCCTGTACTACAATTTACTGCTGCTGCTGATCGTCTTTCTGCTAGAGTTGCACTTGGCACTGATGAAATGGACTGTGCAACAGATAAAGAGGACAGCTCCAATGAGGATGCTGCATCAGGAACACGTCGTTGATGTTCTGTTCGTGCTTGAGCATTCAAAGTTCCAGGTTTGGTAACACTAATTCTATCCTGCATACAACATGAAATGACTCATTTGTTCCATCCCACAAATATACATATCCAGTTCCAGCAATTCTGTATAAACTTTTCAGTAAAAAGTAAAACATTATTATAAACAGAAAAGTCGAAACCAGATACTCTGGAAAATGTAATGTATTAACCTACAAACATAATTGGACTATTAATTATTTATAGCATCACGTCAAAAATAATGTTGCAATATGAGATATTATGAGTTAGAGTGGCCATGTGATGGTCACCATATGACAATTGTTAAGGTTTCTTGCATCTGCTTTCAATTTATCCAAAACTAAAGGATCATGATGATTCCTCAAGCGGTACCTGCTACTTGAGTATTATCCACCAACATGAGTACCGGATAACTATAACCCTAAGGCTCAGACAGATGGGAAAACACCTAGTGTTTTTTTGTCTCTACTGGTATTCTCCAAGGTTTGCACCCACTTCATTGCTCATTTAGGAAACAAAATCTAATGCACAAAACAACTATGCCTCACACTGGTATAGTAATGATATAGTCCCCTTTCCACCACCACCCGCCCCCGGTTAAGTCACAAGTTCGAGCCTAGGCCATCATCTCTGAGTTATCTTATCTCGTGCATTTAAGCCTTTCGGTATGTCTTAGACAGTGTTGTGAAAAGCGCGCTTAAAGTGAGGCGATGCTCTTGCGCTTTTAGCTCCTGAGGCAAGGTGACATTGAAAAGGCGCTCGCTTCTACTGTAGAAGCGAGAAGCGCCAGAAAAACGAAAGCGCGATAAAGCATAAAAAGCGCCCCTTATGTTTTTTTTCCAAAAAAATTGTAAGTTTTTTTTTTTAATTTCAGAAAGATATGCGACTTCACATACTCTTTCCATCTGTCGCGACTTCACTCACAGCTGCGACTGCTTCTCTTCTTCAGACTTTTTTTTATGCAAGTTCTCTTCTTCTTCTCTTCTTCAGACTTTTTTTTATGCAAGTTCTCTTCTTCTTCTCTTCTTCAGACTTTTTTTTATGCAAGTTCTCTTCTTCTTCTCTTCTTCATACTCTTTTTGGTTGGTTGCTGCCAAGCTTCTGTAAGTTTTTTTTTCTTCTTCTCTTCTTCTCTACGAAGCTGCTGCTATCTGCTACTTGTTTTTTTTTTTGGTTACTGCTGGGTGTTTTTTTATATTTTTATTGCTGCATTTTAAAGAGTTTGAGGATCTTGTTGAAGAGTAGGAGTTTGATTCTTTGTGATTTAATTATGTTTTTGATTTTTTTGCTTTATATGTTATGACTTATAAGTATTATTGACTATCTATTTTCTTATAATCTAAGAATATATTACCTCTATTCAGTTAATTTATATAATTTTATTTTTATACTAAATATCGCCTTCTGTAAAGCGAACCCTCATCGCTTTTTTCCGCTTCTCGCTTCCCAAAACACTGTTCTTAGAGGCTTCATAAATATGATGGGGTTACTACATTTAAATCAGACCCTTATATAGCTCTCTCAGAGAAAACGTCTAAATTTACAGTTACAATACCCATCACCGTGTATGTGATATCTCAAGCTCATGCCACACATCAGCTCAACGTATTTCTACAGACTGCCCATCACCTACTAACGATTCCCAATATCAACCATCATGAATAAGGAGGTGTACGAGGACACTCTACTCCATTTTCAACTCCTACCTAACTTGATCTTTTAAGACAAAACTACTTTGTCGCATGCTTCATAAAACGCAAATGAGGATAAACAAGAACTTCTAAATCTTCAGAATAACTTTGTATATGCAACATGGAATGTGCATAGAATCTTGTAGAACCGATAATCATGCACCCTGTTTACCACAATAACTCCAGAAACCTCAGTGATTTATATTGCAGAAATTTTTGGCTCGATTTATACTGACACTTAAGTTTCAGCTTTAGCAGAATTTAACTTCTGTATTCTAATCGACCTTGTACATATCTACTAAAAAAAAGCAGCGAGCTCTCCGGTCCAAAACTCCAAATAGTGACAGAGCAATCACCTTGAATTTTCTACTTGCGCATGTTGTCCACCCCTATCGTAAATTACCTCAGTATCTCTGTGCTACCATTCAAATACACTACTTGTTTTTTCTTTTTTGAGTAAGTACTATTCAGATACATTGACACCTATGATTATAGTAACAAGATAATTGAAAAACTAACTTATTAAAATACAACAACATAACCACTCTAATCCGATAAGTGGGGTCCAGGGAGGGTAGTGCGTATGCTCCCTCTACAATATAATAAGAATATGCTACCACATCGAATCCACTCAACCATCTCCCACATCTCGAAATAGATAAACTATCATAACAAAATTAAATACCAAGTCAAAAGAAAGGAACTGCATACCTTGATTTTTTCCGAGAAACCAAACGAGGGCAGTTCATATTCCACTGGTACTTCTGCCAGATTATTCAACACAATAATTACAGAATTTTCGTAGACAATTAAGCATGCATGTACAACTCAAAAGGACTTACATTCCAGATATAATGGTCAAAATACACGTGAAGTATCACATTTTTGCAAGTTTCCTATATGAACTATTAGATGTTCAGTTTTCCTATCTGATCTATTAACGACTATTTGTCAAAACACACCTCAAGTATAACTTATTCCCTTTTTCTACTTAAAAACTCATAAAACTCATGATCATAATTTATTTCTTTTTGATAAGGAGAACTCATGATCATAATCTCTCTTACACAAAAATATAAAATCAAAAGGACTTGCCTCCTAGATATAATGGCCAAACGCACCTGAAGATCTTTTTGCAAATTCCCTATATGAACTATTCGGTGTTCACTTTTTCTACGTAAACTACCACCAAGTATTTATTACGGGAAAAAGGACAAATATACCCCAAACTATCATAAATGGTATGCATATACCGTTTGCTATACTTACAGGGACACGTGGCACAATCTTCATTATCGATCTAATATTTTATAAATGTCAAGTCGGTGGATAATATTATAACACGTGTATGTCCGTTAGTATAAAACACACCTTGACCATGAGACTCACAAATGATAGTTGAGGTGTTTTCCTTTTCTATTTGAACAATCATCAACTATTTATCGTAACACGTGTGTGAACAATTGGTGATAGGTGGTCGAATGAGAAGGTGAACACCTAATACGGAAACTAGTCATAATACTTTCGGTGTGCTTTTGATCAACAACTAAACATTCTACGCTTATATACACATAAAACAGGAAAGAAATTCAAAAGTATAGCACCCAAGTGTGTGGCTTAGCCGTCAATGAAGATGTTAAGCATCGTAAAATCTCACGTTCAATTCCCAGCAGAGACAAAATACTACTACTTTCTTCATCCCAATTTACGCGATGTTAAAAAGAACACTTTTGAAACTTCTCACTAAGGGTGAAGATATATCTTAACATTAAGTTGTTACTAAATAATAAAAATGTGTCCTTTTCTATAGAACCTACTAAAAAACGATATCATGTCACATAAATTGTATTTTTTTTCTCATGTTATACAAGTTACTTAATACGCTCGTGGAACGAAACAGATATCTCGTGGAATTAGCAGAGTCGTTATAGGGATACAAGATTATAAAAAAAATGGTTCAAATGTATAGAAATTGATCATAAAAAATGAAACATGAACTACTCAATTTCACACACAAAAAAAAAGCATAAGAACGAATTAAACGGCATTGAATAGTACCAGAAAGTTGATAAGAGGGAGAAAACTCTGAATCGAATTCGGATTGGCCATCAATTTCAATTTGTACGGATGATTCTGCATTAGGATGAGCTAGGGTTTCTGAAATTAAAGCTCCCGTCTTTGATTCTCGTAAACTCTCAGCTCCACTGCTACCGTCAATTACTCTATCGTCGTCACCGTTTTCGTCGTTGTGTACGGAGGAATTTTCGATTTTGTTGCTGATTTTATCTTCTTCTTCTTCTTCTAGATTTGAATTTTTGAGTCCGGCTGATTTGGAGCTCTCGTTTTCGTCATCCATGGCGGATTCCGATGAACACACAGTGAGTGTTTTTGTGAAAAAAATGAATTAAGAGGAAGAAAATAGGTAAAGTTATATTTCAAAGTGAATTATTTTTTTAGTGTATTTGTTTTTTAATTTTTCCTTTTCTATAATAACAAGTTTTTAAGCCAAAATTGTTTATTTATGTGTATTTTGGTATTTTAAATATAATATTTCCAAAAAAAAATTACTTTATTTAAGTATGACAATATGAATTTAAAAATTAATGACTATTAGAAGAATATTATTAAAAATATGATGAAAATCTAATGAATTGTTTTTACGGAAGAATAAAAATTGATTTAATTGGTTCGATTTCGAGTAGTAGCAGCAGTAACATTATTTTCGTAACTTTTTTATCTTTCTATTTATGTTATTTCATGTGTTTCAGTTATCGTGTTCTTAGAATACTCTTGTAATGGTTTCCTTATGATTTAATATTTCCTCTTTAATTTTGTAATTTTTCTTTTTTATTAGCTTTGTTACGTGTAATATCGATTATTAAAACTTTTTTGAAAATAATTTTTCTACCGTAAGATTGTATATAACTTATATCCTTTCCAAAGATTGATTTGTGAGACTATGTTTAACAAAGTTGTTGTCATAAAAATCAAGTCACTCTTAATATTTTTTTTGCAATCCAACTTTAATTACTTAAATATTTAACAAAAATATTTTAAATATAACCATTCATATTTGATCGATTATTTAAAAATAATTCCAAGGAGCTTGCACCAAAACCCTAATCATTTTTTCTAAAAATAAAAAACCAATCGACCAAAGACCAATTAAATAATAACATGGAGTAATTTTATTATATAATTCATAGCACTAAAAACTAAAGTTTTGAGATATTTTTTTTATTTATTAGATAGGGTTAAAACGATAATTTAGCAAGTAAAGGAAACATGAAAGAGACATAGAGAGTAGAGATCCGATTTATAAGGTGTAAGAATCAGACACGTTTGATCGAGGAATCAATTATATATTCGAAAATAGCTATTTTAAAATTGTTACCTAAGCTCAATATAAAATTAAAATAACATTATCCTTATATAAATTATTAAATAAACAACATCAAAATTACAAGTTAATTACTCCCAATACTTTGGATATTTTTATATATATAATATAAATCCAAATTAGGTATTATTTATATAATATAAGATTGTCTATTAATTTTTATAACAATCATGCCAACAAATACATAATTTATACTTATACCTAGGTCCCACATCTTCACACATTGGCCTTGGGTGAAGTCCACTATAATAATTATTACATAGCCTAATACAACAAGCTTCATTGCAATATTCATAATTACATGGACCTAAATTTGCTGAACATTGATAATCATTATCTATATCATCTCTACCACTCATAATATTCTCCATTTTTGTTGGAATCAAGTTAGAATCTCCCATGTCACCTAAGCAAGGTAAAAAAAAAAAGACGGAATAAATTTTTTTAAACAGGATATATAGTTTCAGATAATTTTAATGAAAAAAATATTTTTTTAGTGTTTGGTTTGCGAAAAAATAATGAGAAAAAAAGTATGTGAAAGAGGGTGTGGTGCACTCCTAAATAAGGGAGAAAAAAAAAGTTAAAAGATAAAAATTATTAGATGAGAGTGTTTAGACAATTTAATATGGTATAATCAGAATTAATAGATGTTTGAGAATTCTAATTAAAAGTTTCATTATTAATAATTGTTAATGAAAAATAATAATATTTCTTTATGTTCGAGTCAAAGAAAAAGACACGATTCACTTTTATACAAATGATTTTCTCATGCCAATTAATCAAGGGATAAAAAGTAAATTCATGAAAATAACTGACGGAATGATAAACTCGAGACAATTCACACAACGTTCGTCAACAAACACCACAGTGTGATAGAACAACTTATATGAAATTTTTACTAATTATAAAATATTTTAACTAGTCAAACATAAAAAAAAATAATTAAATTAATGTAAAAAGGAAAAATAAAACATAACAAACCTGTTACAAGAGTAAGAACAAAAATGGCAGAAAAACTTGGGTACCAAACTAGAATAGCCATTATATATGAATGTTGAGGAAAATTATTGATTTATGATTTAAATAAATTCCTCATTTTAAATATTATGTATTTATATAAAAATGTCTTTGAAGGTTTTATATAGGGATGAAAATTCAAGGGATCCCAAAATTCAAACAAGTAGATAAATATGGAATTAAGCAAAATTGCTTATAATTTGTTTTTATTAGATTTTATTTCTCTTTTAATTAAATGATGTTGTTGACTAAGTAAGTTGCCCTTACTGATCAAATTGAATTTATTAGGACTCTTTGAAAGTTTTTTTCTTTTCTTTTAAGGTTAACTAGATATGGTTGACTAAATTCGAGAAGATTTAAAATTTAAATTTTGTAAATTTTAGCTATGAATAATTGTTAATTGAGATGTATTTCAATAAATATATATTGAAGTTTAGATAGAAAATTTACATACTTAACAGCGAATAAATTTAAAAAAAAGTGAAATATTTAGATATCTGTTTTACTTTTGGTGATAGACAAAAGAAATATTAAATGGAAAGGTGGACTTATTATGGTCAAATAATATATAATAATTATAATCAAAGACACATGTTATTATTTTTTTTATTTATAATTGTTATATCAAAATTACTTGATTTAATATATACATCGAGTACACGCAAATAGTTATAATTTGTTTGGATGGTTATTATTGATTGTATTGTTATATTATATGATGTTTATTTTATTTAAATTTTAATTTTATTATATTATGTGATTAAATTTATTTAACTCATTATCTCATTTCTCTTTCTCATTATTTTGCTTTACATATTATTTGATAACCTCATTGTATCTTTTACCATATATTTTTTTCTCAATTCCAATTTTGTTTTCCTCATATTAGGAATACATTAATTTAATACCATTATTATATTTTTACAAGACATAAATAGTGATAAATTGGTTGGTTTTTTGCATCGAGGACATCCCTTTTTAGGGCAAAGACAGAAAAAAAAAATGCTCATATTCTCACCATTTTTAAGTAAATGCGAAATATAAAAATTATTTTTTATAGCTTTGAAAGTATTGTTATTGTTTGATTATTTTTTTCTGAAATATAATATATATATTATTTTTATTTTTTTAATTAGTCGAACATGAAAAAATTGAAGTCATATAAAAAACATCGCAAAAATTAAAAAGATAATATAAGAGAACCATAACTAACATGTTACAAGAGTGAGAACAAAAATGGCACAAAAATTTGGTGACCAAACTAGAAAGCCATATATATGAATCTTGAGGAAAATTATTGATCTATGATTTACATGAATTATTCATTTTAAATATTATGTATTCATATAATAATGTGTTTGAGGTTTTATATAGGGATGAAAATTCAAATAAGTTAGATAACATGGATCAAATTGAATTCATACTACTAACTTCTAACTACTAACTATTAAGTGTTTATAGTTACTAATTACTGAGTTAAATAAAATAATTATAAATTTAAACACATGATATGCACGTATTAAATTAGTGTAAACGCCTCTTGTATGAGTTTCAATTAATGGTAAAATCAATCATTCGTGGATTTTTTTCGGAAAAAAAAACCCAACTTTAATCATTTAAGTATTCAACAATTTCTTTTTTTTGATATAACCAATCATATTCAAACGATTATTTAAAAATAAAAAATTATTTTAAGGAGCTTGATCAAAACTCTAGTCATTTTTTCAAAATAAACTTACTAAAAACTCTAATCAAAATAATAACATGGAGTAGTTTTATTATATTTTGTAGTACTAAAAACTAAAGTTTTAAGATATTTTTTATTGAGAAAATACATAAAAAAAAATTCTGAACTTGACAGCAGAACTTACTTTAGCATTTTAACTATTCGAGTGTTTAAATACAATCCTTAACGTCTTTCAAGTGAATTTAATTCTATCCGAAAAAGCTGAAGTAGCAAAAAAATAAATTCAGGCGCGTATATAATTTTTTTTCTTAAAAAAAGTAATATAAATTACAAGTGATCATATTCGTTTTCTTAATATATATATATATATATATATATATATATATATATATTAAGTAGA